CCTGCGCTGGTACCTGATTGGAAGGAGGAGAGGGGTCCCCTTCAGATTTGTTGCCGAGCCATGGGGCTCAGTTCCCATCCCGCGCAGATCAGGGGAAAAAACTGGCTGTGCTATGAGATCGAGCTAGCTGCGCATGTGCCTAGTTTAGTATTCTTAAGATAAGATTCAATAAACTATCTTCATATCCTTTTATAGAATATATATTATTAAAGTATTAGCTTATATTCTTTTTAACTCATTTAAAAAGCAGAAGCCTATGCTATAAGTTTATGGAAAAAAATCAATAACTTGATCTACTAACTAGAACTCAGAAGATTAGATTTCTATATCAAAAGATTAATTTCTTTAATGTTATGCACTGTATACAATAAATATGACATATCATGTTGTGTTATGACCACACCTTAGTGTATTTTTAAATACTAAAGATAAAAATACATATATGTTATTTCATAGATGTAAAAATTGACTCAATATATTAAATATGATTTAAGAATATATTTAATTTTCTAATGTTTTGTATTCTTCAATATCTCAAAATATGCATTATGATTGTTTATGGGATTTATAGCTTATAAAAAAGGAGATATATTTATGTCAGCTATCTAGATTTTATTGTAAATAATGTCATAAACCCCACATGTTAAAGCTGAAATGTAGAAAATGGTACAGCTAAATTCAAAGGCTTATGAGGAGTGAAATATAAGCCAGCTGTTCATATATCCCTGAGGTTATGGATTAATTTCTATGTATTTCAGTCCTTTACTGTTCGTATACTTTTGAAATGTACTGTATATGATTTGTATGGAAAATCTTGGGTGTTACATTGATTTTATTCAAGGATTATCGTTCACATAACTTCAAAGTTGTATCTTGAGTGTATTAAATTTCTAAAGTTGTTTACCAAGTTCTGAAAACAAGCCATTTAATCCTAGATCAGAGACTGTCTCTTGTGAATCTTTCAACCACAAAACTTGGTAGAGAAAACTATTGGTGAACTAAATCTCAATGTAAACATTTCTATATGCAGACACTCTATTCTGGTTTTAGCTACATCTCATGCCAGGGCATAGAATGTTTTATTTTCTTTACAACATTCTAGCTGGTGTCACATGTGTCCTTCTCTAGTACATGCGTTTTCTTTAATTTTGACCTTTCTTCTCCCTTTCCTTTTTTCTCTTATTTTCTCCCTTGCTCATTTACTTGCTCATGCTCTCTCTAGCTCTCAACATCCTCCTTAAAATTAGTACCCTCTCTGAATAAGCCTATTTCACTTGCTTGTTTTCCCCTATTTACAGTACAAATTAAAAAAAAATGTTTAATACCTTAAGGGACTTAGTATATATCCATTATCTTCTAATTTGTTTTTAAAAGCTTTGTATCCATAAAGCATTTAAACGTCTTATATTACCAACTAGTTTTCTAAGTTTTTATTAATTATAAATGCACATCCCAAATTTAGATAGCAAATTTGAAAAATATTTAAAATAATTGTGCAGTTGAAATTTGATCATTTTCTCATATAATTTTAATTTATAAATTTAAGACAAGAAGACAATTTTATTTCTTCAAAAAGAATCATTCATAGATGTATTTTCAATATTTATTTAAAATTTTGGTTTAATACATATGATGTTTTTCTAAAAGTTGGGTATGTGCAAATATTCTAAAACTATTATCATAAAGAACATGAACATTATGGTTTGCAATATAGATACTGAGAAGCTATCATGTTTGGTCCTTCATTTACTTTCAGCACACATCTCCCATCCTAAATGATTCCTCCATCATCATTGAGTTAATGATTCCCTCTCCATTCCAGCTGCCTTATTCCCCAGCTCATGAGACAGGATTCCAATTATGGAGCAACATTCCTTGCCCTTGTGTCTACTATCCTTGGGTGTCAGTCTTATATTATGTTATTTTATACTCTACAAGTGAGTGAAGTCATTCTATGCCTGTCTACCTCTTTCTAACTCATTTTATTTAGCATGATACTCTCCATGACCATCCACTTAGAAGCAAATTCCATAACTTCATCAGTCCTAACAGCTGCATAGTAGTCCAATATGTAGATTTACCAAAGTTTCTTTAACCAGTTCTCTTCTTTAAGGCACTAAGGTTGTTTCCAGATTCTGACTACTGTGAACAGTGCTGCAATGAACATACAGCTGCATATGTCATTTCTACTTTGCATTTTTGCACCCTCAGGATATATTCCCATAAGTGGTATTGCTGTGTCATATGCTGGGTCAATTTCTAGTTCTTTTATGTCCAAAAGTAGAGAGATAATATGGGGGAAATATTCTTCCATAGAGGAAGGGGGAGGGTTAGAAAGGGAGGACGGGTACTGCGGACATTGATGGTAGAAAATGTGCACTGGTGGAGGGATGGGAGTTCCATCATTGTATGACTGGAACTCAAACAAGAAAGCTTTGTAATTTTATCTCATAATGATTCAATAAAAACAAATAAAAATAAAAATAAACAAAATCAGCAAATATTTGGAAGAAGCAAGGACACTCACATACACATCCACACATATCATGGAAAAATTCTGTCATAACCCAAAAAAGAAGTAGTTAGAAAAGACTAACCTGACCTAAGGACTATAGCCTGGGATATATAGTGAGATGATGCCAGGAAGAGCAAACCTATAAGCATACTATATCTCTTATTGTGTTCATACAAAATGACTAGAAATATTATAAAAAGTACATTTACTATGACTTTTTAAATGGTTTACTAGCAGAGGAAAGGATAAGGCAATACACCTGGATGGAATCCTGTTCTTGAGTGGATCTTCTAGTAATCTGGAGTGCTGAACCTTCAGATGAGATTTTGTTCTTGAGTTAACCTCCAGAACTTCCACTGAAGGAGTAGCCTTACCTCTGTTGTTATGAGAATGCACAACCCCACCTATATGTTCCCCCACCCTTCATGATTTCATTATTTCAATATAACTATGCTCTAAAAGGTAAAAGGGGACTAGAAAGATAATGAGAATGACTAAGAGACTATGTGGAGAATGATGAGTATGAGGATGAGGGAACTATGATGACTAGGACTGTGACCAAAACTATGATCATGACTGTGCAGTAAGGGAGAGATAATAGAATTACACTGGGAAGGAGAGAGACATAAACCAACTACAAAAAAAAAACATAAATAGGTAAGCTAGGTTTGTTGGTTAAAAGCAGAGGAACAATATTGTTTATAAACATATAAAGGTGAGAAAAGAGTTAGAGCCTTTGTTTGCTGTGCCTATTTGTTTAATAAAAATGAACTTGAAAAATTCAAATTCAGACATTCAACTCTGATCACAGACCTAAGATCAACACAGAGAAGACAGAAATAGAGGTAAATTTTGGCAAAGGAATTCAGTGAACTGTGGAAAGATATATTAGAACATTGTTGGTAGTTGTGGTATGTATACTTTGAGAAAGTGTGAAAATGCACCATTAAGGTGATTATGACTTTGTTACCAATATCTAACACATACACATTCACACACAGAGAGAAAATTAGTAGTAGTATGTTCTTTATCTATCTATTGACATAATAATACATTTCTTTAGTGAATGTTTAAGAGAACAACCGAATATCAATAAGTCATTAAATGTCATTGCCTGAGAGAGAGAGAGAGAGAGAGAGAGAGAGAGAGAGAGACAGAGAGAGGAAGAGAAAAATAGACTGACAGACAGAGATACCAGGGTGATTTGAGGATACAGTGAGAAAATAATGATGTTTAAGCCAACCTGAGGAAGCTTAGGAAAACAAAACAAACTGTTGCATAAAATTTAAGCATCGAGAATTCCAAACTGTGAAAAACAAACTTCTGTTGGTTAAACCACCCCGCTTATACTGGTTTATTATAGCATCACTGGAAAATTAATAATATGTATGCATGTAAAAGCTATAAAATCATACATATATTATAAAATATGAAAACAGTGTGAAATGAATGCTCTTAAATATAATTTATTTAAACATTAAATGAATTCTGATATTCATTCTGATATTCATTTGAATTGCTGTTTATATTAACAGTTCACTCATTACACTCTCATTCTTCATCATTTGTGGAATGAATATGATTCATTAAAATATTCATTCATTCTGTGTTGATAGAGTTTGTGTGTTTCTTGTTTAGTACAATGACAAATAATACTTCTGTGACTCTTCCTATATAGATATGTTATTATGACTATGTATCCTAAACTGAATATATAAATGTTTATGCTATTTATATTAGCTAAGTAACCATATTTAAATTTAAATTCTCTATTTTGTTATATTGTCTTTACACTATCTAATATTGTCCGTGAGCTGAAAATGCCACAAATTTGCCTGAACAAAACACAGGCAAGATTTTAATTTTGTCATCCTGTGATTTTAATTTTTCATTTTTCCATTACTTCTGTAGTTGAACATCTTTTCTTTTCTTTTTTTTTTTCTTTTTTGGGTCACACCCATGGGGTTACTCCTGGCTCTGTACTCAGGAATTATTCCTGGCGGTGCTCAGGGAACCATATGGGATACTGGGGATCAAACCCAGATAGGCCGCATGCAAGACAAATGCCCTACCTGCTGTACTATTGCTCCGGCTCTGAGCATCTTTTCTTCAATGGATGTTTTTGTTGATTGAGTTGGGTATACCATGAGGTATTCAGGAGTTTGGGAAGCAATCTTGATGATTCTATCAACCAATGAGTAGTTCAATGCAAGAGACTATGGATGTAGTATTGCTCAGGTGCTGTGGTGCCGGGGTTTACTTGAACCACACCTGGCTAATCTCAGGACTTATTTCTGGTTCAGAGCTCCAGGATCACTCTTGGTGGGGATCACAAAAACATATAGGATGCCAGGGATCAACTTGGGTCACCTGAGTACAAGCGTTTCCAGCTGAATTATCCCTCTGGCCCTCATTTTGTTAATGTATATTTATTAATTTATTAATTTTGTTTTGTTTTATTATTTATTCATTTATTTATTTTTATAAAAATATGGAACACTTCACGAATTTGCGTGTCATCCTTGTGCAGGGGCCATGCTAATCTTCTCTGTATTGTTCCCATTTTATTATATGTGATGCCGAAGTGAGTACTTTAATGTATATTAAAAAGAACATATATGTTATGAAACTAACATTTCAACTAGTCAGAAATGCCATACATTTGATAGATTATTGCCCTGACTGTAAAAGTCTATCCCATATCCATAATGGGCTTGTAATCTTCTAAACTATGCAGGGATTTTAACTAACATTTTTTGAAGCAATATAGATGTTTACCCTAAGTAGGATGCACTTAACATGGTAGCAATGAAGGCAGTATAAGTGACCTATCTACTTGGAAGGCTCGAGTGTGTACATAGATTAGTGCCCTTCTCCAGAGAGCCATAACCAAGCAGATTCTTATTAGTCAATTTATTCACTTGATTAAAGATGACTAATAGTATTGTATTTTGAAGAGCTCTCTTACTTATTAAGTCAAGAAAGCAAGAGAGCCAATTCACCTAGCTACTGAAGTTATGTGCAGAGAATTAGATACTTGACATTGCCGTGCATATGCACTAGTTAAACATGGAGAGGAATTAAAATTTAGGCACTTGTGTCCTATCTAGGTGCAAGTGAAGATAAGCCTTTGATCTTTAATGCATATGGAATCCATAATTACTGGAAAAGTTACCTTCTTCCAAACTATATTTTAAAAGCTGGTTGTAAATGTGCTTACTGAATGCAAAGCATATTTAATAGATAATCTGAATGTTGACTTTAGAATTACTGTTATTTCAACAGAAACTTATTCCCACAGTGTTAGATCATAATATTATCTATGCAAAACATATTTAAAAGATAATCTGAACTTTGTTGACTTTATAAACATTTCGATTTCAGCAGAAAATTATTCCAGCAGTGTTGAATCACAGTATTATTTTGTGATGCATGCCTACAGATTTAAGAAGAGAGTATCATTTTATATTTTATGTTTAGTTTGAAATATACTATTTTTTGTTTAATTGCATGGAAAATTTTGATGTATGTAAGACAAGAATACTTTCACATAAATTTTATGAAAGATAATACTACCAAATTTTAATAAACTGTGAAGGAAACCATTGCATAAACAGAATATATTGTATTTATTCTGGATTACTTCTAGTAGCAATATGGCTGTTATTTTTAAGGAAAGTCTTAAACCTGCATTTTCACAGGGTACACACTATTTTTTCTTTAGCCATTAATCAATTATAACTTACATATTTAATAATATATGGATATAATTGAGTAACTTTTAAAATTTATTCCCAATTCTCCTAGAAATAACAGAGGTGATTTAAGTTTTCAGGCAGGTTTATGATGAAAATGTAGAGACATATCTAGAATATATATTCATAAGTGAATTGTAGGTACTTGAAATACCTTCCAACTTGAATGATTCCTTTTTTCCTGTTTGTTTTTGGGCCAGCAGTTCCCAGTTCCCAGATCTCAGGGATCACACTTGAATGGCTCCTGGCACCATATGGGGTGCCGGGGATCAAACCTGGGTCTGTCAAATCACTTGAATGATTTCCTTTTAAGTTAAAGTTAAAATTCATGGTATTTAGGTAATATCATAGTGTCTTATAATTAAAGCATTGTAGCACTGTCCTTCTGTTGTTCATCGATTTGCTCGAGTGGAAACAAGTAATGGCTCACAACAAATTATAAGACTTGTTGTTACTGTTTTTGGCATATTGGATACGCCAAGGCAGCTTGCTAGGCTCTGCCGTTCAGGCGAGATACTTTTAGTAGCTTGCCAGGCTCCTGGAGAGGGGCGGAGGAATCGAACGCAGGTCGTTCACGTGCAAGGCAAACACCCTAACTGCTGTGCTGTCACTCCAACATAATGTAGTATAATTTATATTCATATCTAAGTACTGATCAAGGAGAATGATGACTTCAATATCTTAACTTGTCAAATTGATCTCTGACAAATCTGACATCTTACCAGGTGATATTTTCTAATAATGTCAAGTCTTTTATTAATCACGTGATAAAAGGTGATCAAGATTCCAACCTTATTTCTTATGCATTTTGTTTTCAACTTCATTGGATTCATACAGTCACTAACATAAATGTGAGATATCAAATAATATGTGTAACTGAAATTTTTACACAAAAGAAAGTCATCATCTCATTTATTAATTATTCCCATTTTATACTTAGTGATAAAATTTCAATTACATTTCAAGAGAGCCATTCCCCACAAACTCAAAGATTTTTCTTGTTTCTTATCAATAGTCCTGGAAAGTCTACCAAATATTTTCTGCTGGAAGAATCTCATGTATACAAACATTGCAATAATTTATTTACCAGGAGGTCTGTGACTTACATTTATTTCCTATTTCTTTCTTTGAAACTAAATTGGAATCATAACACTATCCTTCCCAGATACATAAGCATGATCAGTATATTTAAATTCCAGGCAGTATCTTTTACATCAAAGAGGATTTACCTTCTTCCCTTTTTTCCATTCTGAATAGACAGAAAGTACATGAAAATCCACCAGCCATCAGCTTCTCATATTACCTTGGGAACGAAAAAGTTTGCTGAATAGAATTTCAAGATTAAAGGAATCTCTATCCCTGAGTTTTCCAGTGAGAGCACAGTAGCAACTGGCCTACTTATAGCTCTTGTTGTTTGTTTATTGAAAATCAGAAAAAAGTGGCTTCCTCTCTCCAATTCAAGTCTTCCCTTGAACATGTCTGTCTCCCTTTCTACTTCATTCACTCTGGGAGAAGTCCTTTCTCTCTCTCTTTCTCTCTCTGTCTCTCTGTCTCTCTCTCTCTCTCTCTCTCTCTCTCTCTCTCTCTCTATATATATATATATATATATATATATATATATATATATGAGGGGGGCATCGTGGTAGATAATATAGTCTCTCCTTTTCTCTTCTTACATCTAAGTAAATTTTGGTCAGTAAAATCCATTTTGCTTTGCTGGGGTGAAGGTGGATCAGATAAAATGCTGGCTTTACCTGGGGTTGACCCAGGTTAGTCCCCAGCTCCCCATAGGATCCCAGAAGGCTGCTAGAAGTCATCCAGGAGCACAGAGACAGGGGAAAGTCCTGAACACTGTAGGTTCTGCCACCAAAACTAAAGTCAGAGAAAAGCTTATGCCCATTTTATGTTTTGAAATTCTCATGTGACTTTAATGAAAACTAAATCGTGTCTCAAAACACAGTACTCTACCTGGCAGAACTAAAAGTATATGCCATTGGAATAGTAAGAGCATGTGGATTACAGATATCAAGTACACATATATTAAGAACTGGAAAGATGCTACTGCTTGTTTTATACCACTCCTATACTTTTTTGGATAGATCTAGGTGCTACATCAAAGGGAGGTGACTAAAAATTTTTAAGTGCCTGGCTATTGCTATTATGTTTATCAAGAGTGAGATGATTTGCTATGGTTAGACATTCTTCACGTGTGGTGATGATAGGGAAGGATGCTTGCTAAGGGAAATATGGTTGGTGACTACATAACATTATGCAATTTGAAGTTCTTAAAGATAGATTAAGTGGGAACAGAGAGATAGTACTGAGGGTAAGACCTGAATGCAACTACCCTGAATTAGATCATTGACATCGTGTATGATCCTCTAGTACTTACAAGAGTGATTCCTAGGCATAGACCCTGGCATAAAACTTGAAAAATATAATGTTGTAGTCAAAAAAAGAAAAATGGTTTTTTCCAAATCCATAGTATTATGAATTATTGTTATAAATTAGAATAGTAGGCTGATATTAAGATTAGTTTTATAGGAACTGCTTACAATTAATTACTTTGGTTCATATTACTAAATTTTGCCAAGAAAAAACTAGATATAGTGTGTGGCTTCTGGGAACTAAGTAAATAAAAGGATTATTAAATGAGTTTTCTAATTTCTAACTTACTGGGTGGAAGCATAATTTGCATCAGCACTTTTGGTAACTAATATGGCCTTGGGGATGGTTGAACAAGATAGACGAATAAGCCTGAAATTGACCATCATGACACCTCTGAATTGTCAACACTTTTCATGAGAAGAAAAGATTAAGTTCAAAAGAGAAAAAATAAAAATAAAAAAGAGAAGTTTTTATTATTTGAATTTCTTCTTAAAAATCAACATGTAATAAAATAATGTCCATTCATTTTTATTTCTGAAAATTTGAGTGATAAAGGATGCAGAGATAAAGGTCAAGAAATCATTAAAAAATCAAAGAAATAGAACATTGAAATGCACTTTTATTCTACATACATTAAACTACAAAATATTAAGCATCACGATAACAATCATCCTGTTTTTCGTCGATTGTCTCGAGCAGGCACCAGTAACGTCTCCTTTGTTCTAGCCTTGAGATTATAAAAAGTGCCACATTCAAGACTCTTTCAGGGTTAGGAGAATGAGATCCATCATTGTTACTGGTATTTGGCACATTGGGTACGCCATGGGGAGTTTGCCAGACTCTGCCACATGGGCAGGCTACACTCCGTAGCCTGCCAGGTTGTCAAAGCAAGAATGAGATAATAAGATGTCGTGAGGCAACAAATGCGGCTGCACGCTTCCAGGAGCTGGGTTTTATAGTCTCTGGGTCTTGGCCATTGATGGGATTTGCATGCCTTTGTTCCTCTGCCAGAACCTTCTTGCATGTGTAGAATGGTCTCAGCATGGTTGTGGCTGGTTCTGGAGGTCTTTGGCTGCTGGGGTTCTGCTTGGGGTGTGGAGGGAAACTCAACCCGCCCCCCTCCAAGCTGCCCCGGAAAGGACAGCCAGATGCGGGGGCAGGAGACTCTGCTGAGATACTTCATCTTCCAGTAGGCAGGGGTCACACCCACCAACTGCCTCCCCTCCCACCACCACCCCCACCCCTCGCCTTGTAATCCCATCAATGGCCAAGACACAGAGACTATAAAACCCAGCTCCCCGAAGAGAACAGCGCAGAGTCTCCTACCCTCATGCCTGGCTGTCCCCGCCAGGGCCCCTTGGTGGGGGGTGGGTTGAGTTTCCCTCCCTGCCCCAAGCAGAGCCACAGCAGCCGAAGACCTCCAGAACCAGCCACAACCAGGCTGAGACC